TTTAAGTGAGAAGGTTTGAAATATATTAATAATTCTTCTGTAGAATATAGGGTCAATTTTAGCTTGTGTTATGCGTATGATTTTTATGTTTACCCTATTCTACTTCAGTTTTATTAATTATCTATGATTCTTGTAAACCTTAAAAAACACTTTAAATTTAACTAACCTAATTTTTCGGGTTATCTTAACTGCTATTTTACATGAAAAAAAGGGACAGTCTATTAGAATTATGTATGTTCACTACATGCCATATTACCTTTATTATATCTTTTTTTACTTTAAAACTATAATAAATCTATTTTGCTAGTTTTGTTTATTACTGTAATATTATTGGATATTTTTATAAATCAAGGCTATAAATAGTATTGAATCGGAAATGTTAGAAATCTTATAAAACTATTTTGAAGCTTGTTTAATTGAAATATAACAAATGAATAGCGTCAAGAAAGATTTATGATTATGATGAGTTTAATAGTCAACTGCTAAATAATAAAATGGCAGTTCAAACATTATTAAATTTTTTGGCTTAAAGTGTGTGAATTGAACATAAAAATGGCACATATGTCCTTTAATTAGTAGGTAGAGGATATAGGGATTTACTTTTGTCTCAAAATATATGAGAATGAAGAAGAAATTATTATGTTTGGAAAAGATTTAATCTTTTTCTCATTTATAATTTATTTTTTCAAATTAATAAATTAATTTAGTTCTGTAATTTATTCATGATTGTAAGAAATCTGATTAATTCGGTTTTGTTAACTATCCTAAATTAATTAATTAAATCTTTTTCTTTCATAATACGATTAAATGGTAAGAATAAGCGAACATCATATTGATGATTATAGGCTAGTAGTTGAAAAAAGATAGAATTAATAAAATTTTCAATACCTTCAGTTCGACAAAAATCTTGACATTTGGGTCTAAACTTAAATTGAATAATAATGAAAATTCAGAAATTAGTATTAGAGATTAAGAAATTTTTTTAGATGAGGTTTTAGAGGAATTCACATTTGTACTAGATCACAAAAGATTTAGTCTTGATATGTACTACAAATCTCTTTAACTTACCCTAAAGCAATTAATTAATAGCATGAAAGTTATTCAGCTATTAAATATAATACTATTTTGAAATTATTATAAGATTTTAGATCTGGATAATATTTCATAATAAGATAATCTTTAACAATGCTATATAGTTTCTTTAATAGAATTCTATATATAAAAAAATTTCCATTTAATATCTCAAGATAAAGATTCAGCGATTCATTCAATAAGGGTTCAATTAGCACTTTAAGAGTTTTTGCAGTTTCTTTGTGACAAATGCCTCTTGAAAAATCAAATTAGGAGCAAAATCATCATAGAAATCAAAGTTAAAATTACTTAAAGAGTCTTATTAGATATAATCCAATCTTAATTTTCCATTTAATGTCAAAAACTAATTCAAATTTACACAAATTTTAAAAAATAAAATAAGTATATTAATATTTAATCTATTAGCATAGCCAAATCAAATTTATTGTTTTTGAGAAATAAAATGAGTTAATATCCTTCTTTTTAAGCCAATAATTAGCTTAAATTTATTCATTCTCAAAGATTTATTGCAATGAAATAACAAAGATACGTTAGTAACAATTTCTTTGAACTTCCAAAATTTAAGATCATTAGAATAGACAAATATTAAATGAAGCTAATTGTAAAATTTCATTTGAGTATAAACAAATTTTTTAGGTTACCCTAAATAAGAAAATGTGACTAAAAATTTTTATAAATAAAT